AATAGCAGCGAAGGTAGAGTATATACCTTATCAACTAGTTCGGCAGCATGGAGGGAGTTCCCCTACAATGGCTTGGAATTCAAGAAAATCTCAGCTGTTCCCAATTTTATGTGGGCTATTGGTGGTGATCGTCAAGTATATGTTCATGTTCACGGCCTGGATGTGCCCATACGAGTAAAAGAAGAATCATACGAAAATGAACGTTGGTTGCCCATTGAAGGGTTTTCCAAAACACTATTGCCCACAGATCGTTTTAAATATTCCTCTGCCGATGGCCAACAAGATCGATCTATCGAAAAAATACGTCTACCATCAATGGCATGGCAATGGGATGGTGATTGGCATCTGGAATTGGATTTGGATGGAAATTCCCTTGGTGAGGATGGTTGGATGTATGCTCTAGACTTTCCAGCTACATATTCGGCAAAGAAATCTTGGAATTCGTATGTAAGGCGACGTAAATGGGTGAGGTTTCGCCGCTATAGTGCTTTAAATTGTTGGTGTGCTGTGGCACCATTACACAAAGACCCCACACAGGAGCCTTTTACCGATGTGGCAATAGGCGGCACAAATATACCTAATGCTGCCACTGGTACATTAGTCGTTTGGGCTATAACAGCTCATGGCAGGGTAAGTTCGTCCTGGAATTTACACTGTGTTTCCTATTAAATTTTCCATTTAAGGCTATGTTCCGGAGCGGGGTTTCTGCCACAGCTCCCGAAGGACTCCGTTGGACAACTATTCCAACTCCACCTACTTGCGAATTAGCCCAACTTAGTGTTGGTCCAACTGGTCTGGTTTGGGCTGTGCTTTTCAACGGTCATGCAATTGTACGCTCAGGTGTAACCCGTGAAAATCTTTCAGGCGACTCCTGGTTAGATGTTAAGGCACCATCTCATGCCAATAACCAAGAACCCGCAAGCGGTTTAAAAATAGTTCAGATATCAGTTGGCACAAATGCTGTTTGGTGTGTTTGTAATGATTGCAGCGTATGGTTTAGACGAGGCATTAAGGGCGATCTGGCTGGAGTATGTGAAGACGCTGCTATTGGCAGTGGTTGGGTCGAAATGATAGGAAATATATCTATGGTTTCGGTTGCTGCGAATGATCAGGTGAGCAATTTTAGAAAACAGGAATGTTATTTTTAAAGGATAATATAATTGACCGTTTTCAAGGTATTCGCTATTGGATCTGCCGATCGAGCTCTTTACTACCGCTACGGTGTTACGCCATCAGATCCAACGGGGAAAAAATGGCGCCTAATCCAATTACCAATGCAAATAAGCCGTACTTCAAGTTCCATGTCAATAGCTTCTCGCCGAAGCGGTAGTTCATCAACACCCGGTTCGAAACAGCAAAGTTTTTCTAACCTTTATAATAAAGAAAAAGAAAAAGGTGTTGTGGAAACATGTGCACCAATAGAAAATGTTGTGACTGGAAATAATTGCAATAACGGACCACCATCCAGGCTAAAAGGTGAACTCTATCGGCATTACTCAGATTCACCACCCAACATTGGAAGTCTCAATTTGAATGAACGTCACAAGAAACGTACTTCTGCGTTAAGAGAACTAACCCATGCTTCTAGTGCCCCTGGAACAACTGAGGTGGCCGAAGTTAGTGGCAAAGCATACGAAACACATTTAAAAAATCCCAGAGCGTGGTCCCCGGTGCGTAGCGTTGGTTCTATGGTAGGCACCGAGGCCCACCCTGAAAGTGATTCAACCGTATTTGATGCTGACTCTACACACCATGGCTCCGATGCATTTTTGGATGACGATGATCATGCCGGTATATATTTGTCTGTGTATTTAGATTTGTGTATACTATAATTATATTTATTGATTAGGATCCCAATTTTGGACCGAATGCGAAGTTATGTGGTCATACTTAACAGCTGGAGCTGTTAGCATTAACCCGAGTAATTTACCAAATTGGTTCAATGATCAAAGTTCTTCAACAGATAGCCATATTAATGTAGACTCGGCTTGGCGGAAAGATATTGTGGAAAAACTGCGGAAACGACAAGACAAATTTAATACATTAATAAGTCAGGCGAGATATGAAAAGGCAGTCGAACTTTCATCATGGATAAAATCTGCTGAAGCGCGCTATCAACGTCCTGGTACTCTGGATTTTGAAGATTGTCTAATTGAACTGGAGTGGGTGAGCGGCAGCTCCGCCACTACGCCCACATCTCAAAATCCTACAATTCAAAAGGATTCTGATTCTGGAACATTTACCGTACTAAACCCTGATGGCGTAACAGCCAAAATTCAATTCTCTTTATCGGCCATAACATGTGTTATGTGTTGCAGTGAACCTGCCTCCCCACGACTAGCCATACATGTAACAAGCCTTGTAAGTTCTAATTGCTCTCCAGTTCGTCTACTCTTCTCCAGTGATTCTGAAATGGAAGATTGGCTTTCTCATCTAACATCTGTATGTTGCCAAATAAATGAAGTCGTAGCGAAACCTGCAAACAATTCTATATGGGCCACCACCGAACTGGGTGATGTTTTTGTCTTCGATCCGGCTAATATGAAAAGTCAACAGTGGGAAAGTGCAACAAATAGTTATAAGCAAGAAATGGATGTTAGCACCCTGGAAACTCCATATTATAATACGCTACATAATGGGTTGGTATTTTTCGAGTTTCACAAAACAATAGGCTTTTGTGTAATTTTATTAATGGGTTTTCAGAATGCCTTGTGGATCCGAACTAATAATTTCCGGCTGTGTTTATGATGACGCTGATCAAATACGTTTCGATTTGCAATGCCATTCGTCCCTTAAGGTTGGGGTAAAATTTGAAAAACATCGTGTCATTGCTATGCACTTGAACCCAAGGTAAAAATATTACCATCTAACAGAAGACTATTTTCGGCAAGATGTGTTTAAATTATAATTCCTTTGTTACGACACAGGTTTAATGAAAAAACAATTGTTTTAAATACCATGGAAAATTCTGAGTGGCAGAACGAAACGAGATATGATAAGATGGTATTCGCACCAGGCACAACTTTTACATTGAAAATAAGGTAAACTGTTATTTATACTCTGTAATTTGTTAAATTAAAAAAGCGGGTTATAATCTCCGTACTATATCTATCCGTTTCTTTCATTTTAGAGCGCTGGAAAGTCATTACGCTGTTATGGTAAATAATTCATATTTTGTGGATTACAAATACAGAGTGGACCCAGACTCTGTAACTTGTCTATATGTGAGTGGTCGAGTTAAACTTTTCAATGTCACGTATCGCTGCCCAAATGTTATACTCAACCCCCAGTTAATGTTTTGGAGACAAGTTGGCGGACATATAAAGAAAGTGTTTAGCTGTTCTGCTGGCGTGGTTTGGGGCATGACATGTGATAATACGGCATGGGTATACAATGGGGGTTGGGGAGGCAATTTTTTAAAGGGACTTGAGGGTAATGTGGGTAAAATTAATCCCATGATAGATACACACAACTATTATGTGTATGAAAACCAACGCTGGAATCCTATAAGCGGTTTTACCACAAAAAGCTTACCGACAGATCGCTTTATGTGGAGCGACGTAACCGGACGGCAAAAACGAAGTAAGGAGCATACCAAACTTTTGTCATCACATTATGAATGGATTTCCGACTGGGCTATTGATTATAATATACCCGGTGGTTGTGACAAAGAAGGATGGCAATATGCTATTGATTTTCCAGCCACTTATCATGCTCAAAAACGCCTAACAGATTGTGTAAGGCGCCGTCGTTGGCTGAAGAAATGTCGTCTTGTTACAAGTGGGCCGTGGCAGGAGCTAAGCCATTCGAAAATACTCGATGCCGCTTTGCAGGTTTTGCCAACGGACAGTAACAGCGTTAATAGTGAGAGTATGGATGAGATTCCAATATGTGCCTGGGCCATAGCATCTAATGGTGATGTACTATATCGACATGGTGTAACTTCCTTGAATCCTAAAGGCGAAAATTGGGAGCATATACCCAGCGAGCAGCCCCTGGTTGCAATTAGCATAACTCCGGCAGGTCAAGTATGGGTTTTGGGCAAGAACGGTTCTATATTTTATCGTTATGGTATTACCAAATTAAATCCCTTGGGTGAGTGTGTATTTGCTAAAGAGCCATGCTGTTTTATTAATATATGAATAACTTTTCAGGAGATGCATGGCAGCCGATTGATGCTCCAAGTGGAACAAAATTTAAAGCCATTTCGGTTGGCCAAGGTGGTGTATGGGCCCTAGATAGCACAAATCGATTGGCTGTACGCAAAGAAATAACCAAAACATTCCCTGAAGGCTCGCACTGGCAATTTCTGCCCAATGTGGCAAATATACCACCACACACTGATACTCACTTGGGCTTTAAGGCAATATCTGTGGGGGCGGAGGTGTGGGCGGTCGCCATGAATGGTGTACTTTGCAGACGCTGCGGAATTACCAAAGACAATCCAGCTGGTGCTGGCTGGAGTATGGGTATTCCGGTATGTTAAGTAGTTAACAGTGTCTAGATATATACATGTAATCCTATCAATCTCTTGTTTACTTATCACAGGGTCAATGGCATCACTTGTCGGTAGCTGGTTTTTCATAAAGAAATTATGAACATAATATGAAAAAAGTCACGTAATTTTTGGATCGTCTTCGCTTTTGTGTATATATTCAATTTTAAGTATTTTCAATAACAATGAATAATAGTTGCCTACACGTCTTTTATGTGTAGATCCCTTCACACAAGATTTTTGTATAAATTCTATAATTTAAATGACACTTGAACTTTTGTAAATTCAAAAAATGAAGATGAGTTCAATGTTTGAACTTTTTGCGAAGCTCATCGTATGTCACACTCATACTTAGATACTAACCTTTTTTTACGGTCCGTGTCCCTTCTTTTCAAATACTTCAGAGATGATTGCAGACCGATAGATTAATGATCTCTCCACATTCCATAGCTTGTTATATTCTTTAATTTATTTGCATAATGTGAAAATTATTTATAAGAAATTTACTGCTTAGACTGTTTAGTTTATTAATAAAAATTATATTATTCTCTATAATTTTTTTTGCCAAATACCATACAAGAACAACTTCATATTGAGTTAAAATAATAATATATTTAAACGAATAAGCAAATGAACCGCTATTTATTACAATGCAGCATAACATTTGGAGGATATGTCTTAATAAAGAAAACATATGCGCATATACCATATACCTTATCAAGCAGTACACACCACATATGTTAGAAATCAGGCTAAATGCAATTTTTTTATATAATCAATGGTGGGATTAACGAAAAAATTATAGGAGAAACTTAACATTTTAATAAGAAAATTATAAATGTATAACCTTCGGCTCTAAACAACAGCTTTCACAAACCAACTGGCAAAAATAAAAGTTATAAATAATTAGCTAATAATTCATATTTAGCGGCAATTATGTTTTATTCTATCTAATCTTTACAATTGAAAACAAATCTGAAACTTTCATCTGTGGAATCTCCTTTCAAATTCATAATACCAATCAATTTGATTTTGAGACAATGAGGATTTTGACGATGTCTTCAATATGTGAACAAAATCTTTATGAGTTATTTCATTCGCATTAAAATCCCTTTGAAATGCATTAATCGCTGCTTCGTTACAAAGATTACAAATATCAGCACCCGAATAATTATTCGTTAGTTCGGCAATCTCATCAATATCAACATCTGTTGCGAATGGCATTTTCCCGCCGTACAATGTTAAAATTGAACGTCTGGATTGGTAATCTGGTGCTGGTACATGGATTAATTTGTCAAAGCGACCCGGCCGAATAAGAGCATCATCAACCATATCTGGACGATTTGTTGCAGCTACGACCAATATGTGGTTATTAGAATTTAATCCATCTCGAGAGTCCGATCCTAAAATTCCATCCATTTCTGTTAGAATTGTGGACAGAAGACGAATTTGAACATCTCCCGAAGAAGAGCCATTGGCAGCTCGGCGGCCTATCAGAGAATCTGGAAAATATTCCAAGGATGAAGTTTGAAGTCACATATACATATATTTGAGTATTTACCAATCTCATCTAAAAATATCAAACATGGGGAATTTTTTCGGGCGGTATCAAACATTTTTGCTATAAATTTTTCAGCACAGCCCACATAGGGTGAGTATACTTCAGCTCCTGAAGTGGCTATAAATGTCATATTGGCTTCAGTGGCTAAACATTTTGCTATGGTTGTTTTGGCACATCCAGGTGGTCCATATAGAAGTATACCTTTTGGCAGTGTTAATCCGAAGCGACGAAAAGACATTTCTTGTTTTAGTCCAGCTAAAACAGTAACTTCTAAGGTTTTTTTCAGATGATGCATCCCGCCAATGTTGGAAAATCTTTCATTGGTTTTACAAACGCTGACATCAGTTTCTCGCACTGACACGGGTTTGGCTTTTTTTAAACACTCTTGAACAATCCATTCTTGGGATTCATTTGATTTGGTCATCATAAGATGTGTAATATTTCGTACAAGCAAGGCCAGGTCAGCAAGAACGTAACCCTGTGTTTGTTTTGATATCCAATCCAAAAGTGTTGTAGGAAACCTATTATTCGGAAGACTTTTTTGAAGTAGTTTCTCGATAATTTGCCTGCGATCCTCTATAGTCAATGCAGAGATAACAATTTCTTTGTCGAACCTTCCAGGCCTCTTAAAACCTTCATCTAAGGCGTCTGAATTATGTGTTGTGGCCAGACATAAAATGCACCTTTTCGATTGGCTCAGCTCGTCCAACAGTGATAGAAACTGTGTTAAAAGGCGCATTGAATTGGTTGTAGTTTCAGAGTAATTCGCTTTATTTTTGGCTTGTGGGCATAACAAGTGTACATCTTCAATAAGAATTACATTTATACCTTGGAGAAGAATGTAAATCGTCAAAGAAAATTTTGTAAATATAGCAAAAAAAATACTAACCTTTGGAAGAGAAGTTGTCGTTAAAATATTTAACGCTCCTAAAAAAATTTCGTAATTCTGTTTCAGACTCTCCTGGATACTGTTTAATTAAATTCGAAGATTTCAATCTGAAAACATTGCATTTACATTGATATAGGTAGTCTTCAACCAGTGACGTCTTGCCGCACCCAAACGTTCCAACAATTAATGAATTTAAATTCATTCTTTGTGAACTTTTCGACTGTATTTTTGCCGATTCGAGCAAGTCGTCAAGTTGTCTTCGGGCTTTGTTAAACACGGGTACATCGGAGCATACAAAGTTGGATCCGTCGTAGCAGTTGGCTATAGAAATGTTGCCAATTTTAATTTTGGTATCATCGGTGACAACAAATCTGCCGGAATTGCTTTGATTGCTTATGTCTATAGAGATATAGTCCACTCCGATTTTCTTGAACTCTGGGCTTAGGACAATGCATGATGTACACAAGTGATATTGTTGCAACAAAATCTGGGCCATATCCTTTAAATTGTTGCATGGAAATGATGTAAATTTCTCAATGTTGTTGGGACTAAGTGAAAATGTAACTTCGACTTCCTCCAATTGTATTACTTCTTTCCGATCCAATATTTCTATATTATGAAGAACGAGTTGACAATCATCATTCCTAGGCATAAATTTGCAAACTGTTATGTCTAAAAAACAGACAGATCCGGTATCTCCATTTCGAGGAAATAATTGGCAAAGGGTAAAATTCAATTCGTCATTTCCTTGCAAATGGAACCAACACTTGGCCCAATCGCCGGGTCTCCCAATTCTCTCGAGTACATCCCTCGGCAACAAACACTTCTGCGACACAACATTCTCAACTGTTTTTAGCGGTAGCGGTAACATTCATATAATTACTATTGTCCCCTGTGCCGATAAATTTGTATGATATGTTCAAGTGTTAACCCTCCTCTGAAGAGTGGATGGTACAATATGGCATAATTCATAGTGTTCCAAACAGCTGTTCTAATCTATGCTAAATGTCAAATTCCATACTTGTTTACACTCATGGTACCATGGTATAATTATTACATGTAGCAGCAAACCCCAGCTGATTTGACTCTGTAGTAATACTAGTGTCAAATTCTATTTGACGTTTTATTATTTCCATTTCTTAATATACAATAGGTATACACCCATGGTACAATGATATCAAGGTAGGGCTATGATACCATATGATTTTAATTTTTTTTATTTTCTTGGCCTAATATGTCATCTTTATTTGTTTATGTATGTGTTTTCTTTTCAATAACAAAAAAATTGTTCAGAAAACATTCAAATTCGGATGTTTTCAAAATGTTTATTTCAACGTATGCATCGACAAAATCTAGAGTTTTTGTTGCGATATAATCCTTTAGAGATATATAGTACATGATTTTGAAAAGAAGTGTTGACCTTTCATTCAGTTATCGCGTTTTTTCAATTATTTATTCAAAATAAATTCAACAAGTTGTTTGATTTTTTATTGTTTTGATACTAATTCTGACAGTACAAGCCAAACAGGTAGACCTCTATACTTGCAATTTTTTCAAAGTTGACCTACCTTCTCTTCATTGTACCATGTATACACCATGGTACAATGATATCAAGGTAGGGCTATGATACCATATGATTTCAATTTTTTTATTTTCTTGGCTTAATATGTCATCTTTATTTGTTTTTGTATGTGTTTTCTTTTCAATAACAAAAAAATTGTTCAGAAAATATTCAAAGTCGGGTGTTTTCAAAATGTTTATTTCATCGTATGCATCGACAAATTCTAGAGTTTTTGTAGCGAAATAATCCTTTAGAGATATATAGTACATGATTTTGAAAAGAAGTGTTGACCTTTCATTCAGTTATCGCGGTTTTCAATTATTTATTCAAAATATATGCAACAAGTTGTTTGATTTTTTATGGTTTTGATACTAATTCTGACATTACAAGCCAAACAGGTAGACCTCTATACTTGCAATTTTTTCAAAGTTGCCCTACCTTCTCTTCATTGTACCATGGTATACACTTATTAACATATTTTGCCTAATAATAGAAAATAACGCGGTTGAATTTTAAATTTAATATTTCAAAAATGTATACAGGTAGTCGCATCGACACAGCTGCTGGGACAATGAACTGTTTGACAGAAGAATATAGATGCATCAACGCTTGGGAACATTGATATGTCAAAATTTTTAAAATGTTTTGTCAAAAATAAGTAGATTTTTATATGTTTTCTTACACGACGCAAATTGGAGGTTGTAATGATATGTATTTTTCAACAATTTTTACAAATTTCAATAATTTTTCATTCACGATTTTCAATTTTAAAATCGGTTTGACTGTTCATTGTGTCGATGCGACTACTTGTATTCTTCTACCATGTTCACAGCATACCATGTTAACAGTTATGTGACGTGAATTGTTCGCAAACATCAATTGATATATCAAAAAATTTAAAGGGTTTTTCAAATATAAGTAGATTTCTATATGTTTTGAAATGCGACGTAATGCTAGGAACGCAATTGGAGCGAACGACGAATTTTTTCGCGGCGTATGTTCGTCGTCAAAAATAAAACACATATGTGTATATGGAAGTGCACACAATCACGGCACCGGCGAAAATTTCGTCGGTCGCCGCGAACTCAATTAGCTTTATTTCTATTTCATACGCCGGTGACCGGCGAACAAAACAGTACAAGGTGGCCATACTTGTACGAATTTTATGTGTTTTAGTAAATAAAGTTACTTTTTACTTTAAAATTTGTTATGGTCACTCTACTATCTGTTACTCGTATAAAAAAAAAACATAATTAATTTGTTTATTTATTTGTGTACTTGCACCTGAGTGAAGATGGATATCAGTGAATTTATAAAAGAGAAGATGGACATAAGTGAAATTATAATAGAGAACGTAAAGAATTATGTGTTCTTGTATAATTCATTGTAGTCAACAAATGAGCAAAAAGTAAACAACTTCATCAGCTGTTTTATAATTTCGTCGGTATTGTGTTCCATACGACGAATTTTCGCGGCTCATTTTGTCGCCGCGTTGGACGAAATTCGTCGTTCGCTCCAATTGTGTTCCTAGCATAATTCGGAGGTTGTTATAAGTTGTGTTCCAGTACTTTTTTAGTAGTAAAACTAGCAGAAGAGAGAACAGTTCGAAATGTCATTCTCATTTAGGTTTGCTCCAAAAATAAGGGAACGGAAAATTAGCAGAAATGCGATAAAATGTCAAAATTCAAAATTCCAAAAGTAAACAGCCTAAATCGGACTGGTGAAACCTTACTGAAAAGAGCGCCAACATTTTAAAATGAGAATTGAAGACGATAAGTTAAAATTAATAATTTATAATAATAATTAATAATCTGATTCCTCATTCAGCCAGTCCTCTTCACTGCTGGAATCACCCAAAAGTGAATACATAAGTTGCCCCATGTTTTCTCTTTTTGTTTTTTGCACGACAAATATTAGTTTTTCCTTTTGTTTTCAAGTTGGTTATTTTCTTTATTGAAATGTATCAATACATTTTCAACCTTGTTAGCCCTGCCAATTAAATGTCAAATTTACAATATGCACATTTCTGCTCGGCCAAATTCACGTAGCTAAAACAAGCAGAAATGTGCACCACTCAGCGCCATTTTTTTTCTCGAGAGAGCTGCAAGTTTTGCTAGTTTTTGGTGTACGGGAACGCGTTGTAGCAGAATTAGTGCTAATTAGTACTAATTAGCAGGTTCTGGAACACAACTATAATTGGCGTTTTTCAACAACTTTTACGAATTTAAATAATTTTTCATTCAACATTTTCTATTCTAAAATTGGTTCGACAGTTCATTGTCCCAGCAGCTGTGTCGATGCATCTGCATATATTTTTCTACCATGGTCACGGCAGAAGAATACAGGTAGATGCTTCAACGCTTTGGAGCATTGATATGTCAAAAAAATTTAAATGTTTTTTCAGATATAATTGGATTTGTATATGTTTTCTTATACTACGTCATACGGAGGCTAATATAATTCGCGTTTTTCAACAATTTTTACAAATTTAAATAATTTTTCATTCAACATTTTCAATTCCAAAATTGGTTTGACAGTTCATTGTCCCAGCAGCTGTGTCGACGCGTCTACCTATATTCTTCTACCATGACTATGGTGACAAAAATCTATTTTCAAAACAAAAAAACTTTTTAATTTAAATGTCTTGGTTCCACTATCTACGACGATCTTCATTCCTTTACTTTAAGATCAGGATTTAATTAGAAAGCACATTCTTTCTTTATTTTCATTTTCTTTAATTTCTTTGACAAATCATACTTGTATAAAGCTAATAATAAAGCTGCATTGCATTACATGACTTAAGCCAGTTAAAAATGCATTTTATGTATTCCCACCTTTAATGTGTGCTTCCATTTTTTTTTTTTATTTCAGCCTTAACATTAAAATATGACACAATGACCGGAACGTTTTTAATCTGTTTCATCTTCAGTACCACAATCGAAAATATATTCAATTTTCCAAGCGAGATGGCATCTCTCACTTTTAACCCCTAAATTGTTGATTTTGTCATTTCACTACCCTCAGAACGGGTGTTCATTCACAGAATATTTTTATTTAGAAACAATTAATATTGTACTCATACAACACTAATTCAATTAAATTTGAAAGCGGCAAAAACTCCACTAAACGCAATGTATTCTACTCTAATGTAATTAATAATATCCATCCGAATAAATTACGTTTGGGAAAAACGTATCGTGTCTACCAGAAAATCTCTATATTGTAATATTTTTAAACATGGAAACGAAAAAAATGTTCCCCTCTTTGTTTATCAATGGTGAGCATAGTTATAAATAAGAATAATTGAAAGAAAAAAATAAGTATTAGCATCGTTTTTAGCTTTGATTGCGCTGTGTACAATACCTTATTTGTTCGTGGGGGTTGAGGCTGGAACAAATTCGAAAGTTTTCGAGCTCACTGATCGGTTTATAGACGTACGCCATGAAGGCCAATGGCTAGTAATGTTCTACGCTCCCTGGTGCGGCTATTGTAAGAGAACTGAACCAATTTTTGCGTTAGTAGCGCAAGCATTACATGCCACCAACATACGTGTCGGCCGTTTGGATTGCACTAAATATCCAGCTGCGGCAAAAGAATTTAAAATACGCTCTTATCCAACTATTATCTTTGTCAAGGGTAATATGGAGTACACCTATTCGGGCGATCGTTCTAAGGACGAATTAGTAGATTATGCTCTGAGAATGAGCGGTCCGCCGGTACAATTAGTAACACGAACAGAAAGTGTGGACATGCTCAAGGGTTCACATACCATATTTTTCATGTTTGTGGGCCCCCAGGAAGGTGTTGTATGGGATACGTTTTATGTGGCAGCTGAAAATTATCAGGAGCATGGATTTTTCTATGCCACTTCTGCAGATGTTGCTGCACAACATTTCGAGTTTGAACACTTACCAGCAGTTATCGTTTACAAAGAGGAACAGCATCATTTTTATCCACACGCTCACAAAGCCCATGAAATGGATCCCGAATTGGTTAATGAGACAATTCATCAATTTGTTAATGTCGAGAGATTTGTGGCCTTTCCCAAAATAACTAGATTTAACATAAATCAATTATTGAAAACCAAAAAGTACCTTGTGGTTGCTGTCGTAGAGGAAGACAAATTAAGTCAAATTGCAACGCATGAACTGGAATTTCGTGATATGGTAGAGACTGTTATTAGAAAACATCGTGACCGCTATCATGACAAATTCCAGTTTGGATGGGTATGTATAAGCCGATTCGTCAAAGTAACTTAAAATTGCTCACCAATGCACATCCCCTTTCAGATTGGAGATCCAAGCATTGCACATTCAATTATCATGGATGAAATGCCCACCCCTCACATAATTGTTATAAATTCTACAACTCAAGAACACTACCTGCCTGATGATGATCCAATGCAAATGACACCACAAGCTTTACATATATTCCTGGAAAGCATTCATAATGAAAGTGCAACCGCATTGGGTGGTGATACTTATTTTGTACGCTTGAATAGGGCACTATTCGAGGGGAAGAAGGCGCTCATTGAAATGTGGCGCGGCAACCCCGTATTAACATCAGTTATATTTGGTCTTCCGTTAGGATTTCTTTCATTAATTTTGTATTCCATCTTTTGCGGCGACTGTCTGGTTACCGAAGAGGAAGAAGAAGACCACGAAAAGAAGGAGTAAACTATCTGTAGATGTGTTTATCGCTTAAATAATATGTTTGATATCAATACTACGCTACTAAAGAAAACAAGTCGTTACTCTTCCATAATGCCGATACATTTTAAATCTGGTGAATCTATATTGATTTTTTTGATGTTTCCAAACGACTAGACCCATCTATAGAACTGACATTTTAGCATTGTGTAATACAGACTTCAACCAGAAAGGTGATCATTATGACAGATGTACGTCGTAAACTTTGTATTGCGAGCCAACTAGTTCAGTTAAACTACTACTGTATCCAACTTTCTAGTCCAATTTTATGTTTTATATATTTCATATCAATGGAAATCTGTTTATTTTTTACGAGTATGTTTTTATTAAAAAAAAAAAACTAAAAACTTAATTACTTGTTTAAACGAAAGTTTTGCAAATAAATGGTTACTAAGCTAAGAGAGTTGCAATGAATTTTTCCTTACAAAAATAATAGAAGATAACTCAGCCCCCGTTTGGGATTATGAGAATAATAAACCAAATGTTATGGCTAGTTACCGCCAATAATCAGCATCCATAGTCATCATCATCGTCCGAATCAATTGCTGCACGACGTCTATCGTACTTGACAGTGCTCTTACTTTGAGGCATCTGTGCATTTACGCTTTCTAAAATGCTTACAAATTGGGCATCATCCAGTTTTCCCCTTAATTGGCCGGTCTGGGCCATTCTCAAAACCATATTTTCAAAGACTGCTGCCTTTTCGGGCTTACTAATTTTTAATGTGTTTACTGCAAGAATATAAAATTATTATTCCAATTTTTTCCTTTAATAAAATGGAAACACATACGTCTAGCTCTAGCTTGTTGATCAAGGACCTGAGAGAGAATTGCGTGTTTCATTTCTTCCTGTTGCCGCATTTGATCTTCTTGTGCCTTTTGTTTTTCTGCAGCATTTCCGCCACCACCTCCACCGCCCTATATTTAAATAAATAATAATTAACAATTATGGTTATTGTTAACATTTCTGTTAAATGTACTATGAAGAACTACAAACCAAGACTTTATAATTAATTTGTTTAATTTTAAATAAGATTCATAATATAATTTTATAGTAGTCGAGTATAGCAGTTTTTGGAACCGCCCATGGCCCCAAAATGCATTAATTGAAAATAAATAAAAAATCGCCAAAAAAGACCGATTAGCAATGGACTATACAATATGTTATTGTCCTGGATGAACCTTTTGGTAACAAACATGCTTCTCGTGTATACCAACATACAATGTACCAATAATGAATCTATTTAACTTCAGAGTTCTCATTGTGGATCACACGGAGAACCCAGCAAATAACAGTCCAAATAGTCTACGTAAATAAAAATTCTAATATTACCAGCAGTTTATATATTGAGACACAAGTTTCAACTATGCACACTATTTTTATTTCCATAAGAATGACTCATCCCCAATTATTTATTGAGTAGTATTTGGGGTAGGGCCAAATTTTCATACCGGAGATGAACATGGAACATATTTGGAACTGCAAATGTCACCTTTGTGTTACATTTTGTTCTTCTTTCCAACATGTGTGTCCCCAAGCTAAATCAAAGGTGATTCTTGCCGGTTAAATCATCACATCTCATGGCAGAGAAAATAGCGATTGAGTGCACATTTTCATTAAACATTTACTTACATATTGGGATTGGAGCTGTGCCATACGCTGGGCACGGATTGCGTCCAAATCATCGGCCATTTTTCCAAATTTATAAAATATCTGTCAGCAGCGTATTATTATCCAAATACTAATTTAATCTCATATTGTCTAGGGATGACAGCGGGTAAAAATAAAGCACGTTGGCCACATATAGAACTTAGTGATTGATGTTCTTATTTTCATAATAATGGTACAATAATGCAGGTAGATGCATCAACACAGTTATGGTAGAAGAATACGATTGGGAACATTGATATATCAAGAAATCTTAAATGTTATATCAAATATACGTAGATTTTTATATGTTTTCTTGTACGACATTATCCAGACATTGCAAATTTAAATAATTTTTCTTTCAACATTTTAAATTCCAAAATTGGTTTGACATCTTGAATTTAATACAATGCAAATATGTTGAAAAACACATTTCATAACATCTTCTAAATTAATGTGTTTAAACCACATTTTCAACTTAATTTTGGATATAACCAACTTTTAAATCGATTTTTCCCGATAATATATATTTTTTACAAGTTTTCATTCATAAATTTGATTATTATTTCTTCGATTTGAATTAGAACACTCCAGTAACAGTCTGGGTGCATTTCATCAATGCAATGCAATGTAGTTTTATTATTAGCTTTATGCAAATACAATTTCTCAAAGAAATTACACAAAATGAACATAAAGAAAAAGGTGTTTTGAGGTGCGTACATTAAAAGGCTAGGTATATTAATGTCAAATTATAATGTAAGACGACGGCAAGATTTTAGTGCGGCTCTGTAATCCCTTTATGAAATGCCACAAAATGTGCCTAGCCATGATTTAAAGGGTTTTATGTACTTACACCTTTTGGATTTAGTATGTAGCTAAGAAGGTAAAGTCATGTAAAAATGTTTACAATTTTCATTGTCAAAATATATATTTACAAATCCATTGTGTATACACAAAATTAGCGATGGGAACTGTTTTTATGCATTGATATTTGACAAGTTAAATTACAGAAAATACAGAGCTGGGAATACTAATTTGAAATGAGGTTACCTTTATTTCATTGTACCATGGCAGTCACACTCATAAAAAGCAAAAAAATTAAATACTGTTGATGTGCTGCGAACAATTTCACGTCACATGCTATGCTATGAATGTAAAATCTTAATAACTGCTGCTGTCAGCAATCAAAACAAAGGTGAGAATACATAAAACGATTTTTTGACTGGCTTAAGTTATCGGCGGTCTTCTTCTTTTCTTTTGTTCCAGAACTGCAAGAATATAAAAGTTTTTATTGCGATAATCGATTTTCCCTTGAGGGTATCGAAAAAATGCAAAACTGGTAGATTCTTGCAGGTCGAGCGAGAGATGAATGATATGCCTGAATTTTCTTTCAAACAATGCGATCCCAAGTGTCTCATATTTTAATTCCATTGCAAAACTGGTTAATATCTTTAATGCTCGTTCCGCAATGTACGGTTATTTTAATCGTTGATTGTGAAAAATGTCCACCTTATATATACTTCAAAATACTAAATTCCAAAAAAAAAAAACGATGTCCGTCCGATTTGAACCAAAGTTGGTATATCATAATATTATTGTCAAACTAAGATCGAGTTTGGAGATTGTCAACATTTTCACACAAAATAATTAACTGCACAGAAAGAGAAAGGATAATCCGATTTTGCTTCAACTTTGCATATCCTTATATTTGCATCAGTGCTAGGCCAGAACAATATCGGTTCACTCTATCAAGTACCTCCCCCACAAAGGAACAATTTTTTAAACAATTACAATTCTTATAAAGTGAGATGTAAGTGTCCGATTGTCTTTAAATTACACAGATCACAATTTTTTTATAAACCCAAGGTCTGGCGTGAAAATGGGATATATCGGTCCACTCCTCCTGGTACCTCACCCACAAAGAGTCACAGTTTTCAATGCTTATGTCTGTCATAATTTGCGAAACAAGTCGGCGATTCTTTACAACTTGCTATATCTAAATACAGTATTTTTTGCTTACCTGCACAATCAAAAATTGCACGACATCTTGTGCAGCAATGCCCAAAATGCAGGTAGCTTCATTGCATTTATCTGCAGAATGAAGAAGGTATCTTTAATTTTACTTACGTGCACAAAAACTGCAGGTATCTTTAATTTTCTATTCGTGCGCAACTGAAACTAATTTCAAGAAAACACCACTTTATTTAACAACAACAACAAAGTAAGTTTTCTCATGAATTGTCTAGACAAGCAATGCTCACCATTAGCGTCATCGAAACCAGCGATGCCAACTTAGTGCTTTTCGCGCTATTTATGGTGCTTTTTAGACCCCCTAAAACGCCAAAATAGTGGGCATAGCGCGAAACGAAAAAAAACACTGTACGTACGCTTTTCATCTTTTCTGTTGGTGCTTTTAGCGCGTTTTAGATTTTTAAATATGACAATGTTTATACATTCGAATATTTTGATAGTATGACATCTACTTGTCGCAAGTTCTTTACTGCAAATTCTTTACGTCTCATTCCTGTCATTGTTTATTTTTTTAATAAACCATAATAAAACGAAGAATTTTGTGTATTATAAACCAATTGAAGGAAAAGTGAAATGAACGAGAAAAAACGTAAGCTTCAACTGAATTTGAAGCTATGGGTGAACACAATTGTTTGTAAAAATGTACATGTCTGCAAGTTTTATTTTTTTTTTTTTGTAAATTTCCTAATTCGTTTTAAATGGTGGAGGGTATTCAAAGTTCGGCCCGGCCGAACTTACTGCTTTTTTACTTGTTTAAAAATATGTATACGCTTATATACATGAAATGTTTATATAAGATACGATCTAAATTTTTTAATAAAACAGTATTTAGTTTAAAAAAAGTGTTTTATTGACAATTTTGGTTAGAAAAAAATACATAGCGCTTTTTACGCTTTTTTAAGGAAAATTTTTACGCCATTTACGCTTTTCTGGTTTTTAATTACGCTTTTAGCTCTCAAAATGTTGGCAACACTGATCGAAACTTCAAACAAAAGAGTGTTCTCTTTTAGCTCATCAAAAGTAGTTAAGCAATGGATAGACAAACTCAGAGAGACAAATTCACAACATATGTATTTGAGCATCAGTGGTGTTTTCTCCAGCATAACCAAGGTAGATGTACTAGGTAATCGCATCAGCCCAGCTGACGGCACCATTAAATGTCAAAACAAATTGTTGTAATGAAGAATTCGCCCTAAATGAATGCAACAACAAATTTGTTTATGTTGTCTTCCCTAAAAGTACCTTTTTATAATATTTCAAATAATTTAAGAGTAAGTTAAGAGTGAAAACAGTAAAAAATTAAAAGAACATGAAGGAAGGAGGTTAGAATGGAGTGCAGCTTTAAGAATTAAGTTAGCTTCAACATCTAAGATTCCCAAAGCACATCACGGGAAGTAGTGCAAGAATTAGACTCTTGTCATTTGCAGTTCCGGAAAACTTTCGGTTTAAACCAGTAAAATATAGTCATTATAAGTTTCTTTGTTTAAAAAATATCGCAATACTACAATTAATACTTATTTTACTCTTATTTGTTTTACAATAAAAACTTTTATTGCGACGTTCGTTTACGACGTGAGGGACACAAAATAAAATGTAAACAAACACCTCGTTTCTGATTGGTTGAAACAAATTTGCCGCAACTTTTAAATGTCATGGCGAATCTATGTTTTTCGCCTTAGATGCCAATTTTGACATTTGAGGGGACCACAAAAGTTGCTTTGTTGTAGCAATTCGCCGATGCGGTTACCTGTTAGATCTACCTTGAGCATAACCATCTTTTAGTGTGGGAGAGAAAGCGAGAATATGTTTTTAATGCATGCTCTTTTCTTGTGTTGTTATTGTTTTTGCGAATAAAAAACAAAAACGAAGTGATAGTTTTTAGTGTCTTTTTTGAGTTTGCAAAAAATTTTCTTGTGCAGATAAATACAACTTTTGTAACCAAATTAAAAAAAATACCAAATTTTCGAGGCAGGAATGTCCAATGTGCAGCTATCGATTGGGCACTTAAATACAATTCAAATAAAGGGATTCAGAAAAAAATGGCATAAAAAAGTTTTTTGGTCTGCAAAGGCCAATGCGCAGCTAATGTTGATGCAGGTAAATAGAAACCACTGTAGTTCTTTTTAAACAGGAATCTGATATGAATATGCATTCTATCGAAATTTATGATTTCGCCTAAAATTGGCTATAAATGTTCGATTACCTTCACATTTTACACATGGCAATATTTTTATCTGTATTAAATAAAGGATAAAAATGAAATACTTCGGTCCGCTATATATATTACCTCACGCATATTTTCCCATTTTGGAAATATGGAAGTAATCTATATAGTCAAAATTTTACAAGTTGTAATATTTTTATCAGTCTTATGTCAGATACAAATTGGTCAATATTGTCTGACTGCTTCGGAACCTCCCCAATAAAATGTCAATAGTGTGAATAATCATAACTCAAGGCTGGGGGTATACATATCTCGGCAAAACCGACTGATACTATTTTACTTGTTATTGTACCATAGTATTGCCAAAATACGTTAAATGTGCACACATACATACACTGGGTATATGTTTTGACGGAATGGGAGCATATCACAATTTTACAATAGTGGAAGGAGAGTATTTTAGCATACGGCACCATGGTAGAAGAATATAGGTAGATGCATCAACGTTTGGGAACATTGATCTGTCAAAATTTTTAAAATGTTTTGTCAAAAATAAGTTGATTTTTATACATTTTCTTATACGACCAAAATGGAGGTTTTATGATATGCATTTTTCAAAATTTTTTACAAATATCAACAATTTTTCATTCAACATTTTTAATTTCAAAGTCATGCTAGGAATACAATTGGAGCGAACAACGGAGCCCTACGCGGCGACAAAATGAGCCGCGTAAATTCGACGTATGAAACACAATACCGACGAAATTATAAAACAGCTGATGAAGTTGTTTACTTTTTGCTCATTTGTTGACTACGATAAATCAGAGAATTGTTAAAATAATTAACATAATGTATATTATAGTAAACGCTTCTTTCTCAGGCGCTTCTTCACTCAGGCGCAAGTATACATATAAATAAACAAATTAATTATGTTTTTTATACGAGTAACAGATAGTAGAGTGACCATAACAATTATTAAATTTATTAAAACACATAAAATCCGTACAAGTATGGCCACCTTGTACTGTTTTGTTTGAAATAGAAATAAAGTTAATTGAGTTCGCGGCGTCCGACGAAATTTTCGCCTTCGCCGTGATTGTGTGCATTTCCATATTCACATATGTTTTTTATTTTTGACGACAAACATACGCCGCGAAAAATTCGTCGTTCACTCCAATTGTGTTCCTAGCATCACAGTTCATTCATTCAGACAGTTCATTGTCCCAGTAGCTGCGTCGATGCGCCTACCTGTATTTTTCTACCATGATACGGCACGTCGGGTATTAGGTGGCCTTGTCAAATGGTACAAACCTGTCGGCGTTATATCACATATCAGGCTCCACAGTCTTATTTATACCGGCACAGCGTCTTTTTTTTTGCAGAAAATTTTGCTATTGAATAAAACTTAATTAGAATTTACAATGGCGGCATCTTTAGATGGAGTGTTTCCAGCAACCTTGCAAGAAAAAGTGAAAAATTCCAAACTGCTGGTGGTTGGAGCGGGCGGAATTGGATGTGAAATCTTAAAAAATTTAGTTCTGTCGGGTTTTCCCGAAATCGAAATTGTAAGTTAATCATATTGGAATCATAGTTGTGGACCTATATTAACTTGTGGATATTTTGTAGATTGATTTGGATACCATCGATTTGAGTAATCTAAATCGGCAATTTTTATTTCACCGTGAACATGTGGGTAAATCGAAGTCACAAGTGGCGAGGGAAAGCGCTTTGCAGTTTAATCCGGATGTTAAAATAAAAGCATACCATGATAGCATAATGGCGTAAGTAGATTCCAATCGATTTGATTTAATTGACAATAAACATTTATTTATTTTAGAACGGATTATGGCGTAAATTTCTTTAAGAAATTTGATGTCGTTTTGAACGCTCTTGATAATCGAGCTGCTCGTAACCACGTAAATCGAATGTGTTTGAACGCAGAAGTGCCATTGATAGAGAGTGGTACAGCTGGTTACAATGGTCAGGTTGAGCTAATCAAAAAAGGATTGACGCAGTGTTACGAATGTACACCAAAGGCTACTCAAAAAAGCTTCCCCGGATGTACTATTCGCAATACACCATCCGAACCCATTCATTGCATCGTGTGGGCCAAACATCTTTTCAAGTGAGTATTATTTGAAATCCGGTTTATTTTGTATGTCTTCTATAGCGCCGACGTAATTTCATTGGTTGTTTTATTTGTAGTCAGCTATTTGGAGAAACCGTTGATGACGAAGACATTTCACCAGATGTTGCTGATCCTGAAGCCAAGGGAGAAGTTGATGAAAATTCAAAAATCGATGCTGAGAAGGCAGCCGACGAAAAAGTTCCTGGTGATGGTAATGTAGTACGCGTTAATACACGCCAGTGGGCTAAAGACAATCATTATGATGCCCAGACATTATTCAACAAATTCTTCTATGATGACATCAAATATCTCTTATCTATGTCCAATTTGTGGAAAACGCGCAAGCCTCCGACACCCATTAAGTGGGACAGCCTTCTATTAAAGCAAGACGAAACCGATCAAAGCTATTCCCGTCAATATCACAAGATATGGTCCTTAGCCGAATGTGCAGCTGTATTTGCCGACTGTTTAAAAAAGCTCAAACTAAACTTGGAAAAAATGGATCAGGGCGATTCCTTAGTATGGGACAAGGATGACCAACCTGCAATGGATTTCGTTGCTGCTTGTGCCAATATACGTGGTTATATATTCGAAATTGGCCGTAAATCTCGATTTGAAATCAAATCCATGGCTGGAAATATTATTCCCGCTATTGCAACTACAAATGCTATCACTGCTGGTGTAGTTGTTTTGCACACATTTAAAGTTTTGCAAAATCAATTGGACAAGTGCAAATCTGTATATATGCGTCTTAGACCAAATCCAAGGAACCAATTATTGATACCGGAGAAAATTTTAACGGCTCCAAATAAAAATTGTTATGTTTGCGCCGCTGAGCCCGCAATACATCTACGCATCGACACCAAACGTGTTCACATCAAAGAATTTCGTGATGAGGTTCTTATTAAAACTTTGAATATGGTAAACCCAGACGTTATTGTAGATGCCAAAGGTGTTGTTGTAATTTCGTCAGAGGAAGGTGAAACCGAATGTAATGAAAGTAAACTTATGTCTGAAATGGACATTGTCGATGGGGTTCTATTAAAATGCGACGATTTCTTCCAAAATTACGAACTGAGCATTATAATTGTGCATATAGACGCAGAAAGGGATGAACCTTTGTTCGAGGTTATTGCTGATCCAAATCAACTTAAGCCCAAGAAAGAAGAAACAGTAAAAACTTCCGAGAAAGAAAATGGCAAGACGGATGACGTGTCAGATGGACCTTCTACATCGAAGAAAAGCAAAATTAACGAAGTATTGGACGATGATGATGACTTATGCTTGATTGAAGACGACGATGACCATAACGTTTCAAAACCTGCCGATAAGTCCGCGACGGAAGAGGTAACAGAAGCTACTGATAAGTTGCAAGTAAAAAGTCCAGAGAAACCCATTGCCACCAAGCGGAAGACAACGACTGTTGATGATGATATAACCGAAATCCTAGATTCAGATGAAGAAGACGGACCAACTCAATCAAAACGCACCAAGAGATCTGAACCGGATGAGAAAGGAGTCATTAACATTGATTAACTAGAGAAGAACTCGGTCATTCATTGAAAGTAAATCTTTAACATACCTTCAAAGTTAATATATATTTAATATTATAACTTTGATAATTTCATTACAAAATATAATTAACAGATACAACATACATATACTGAGATGTTTCTTAGATATCGGGATATTTATATGCATGATTTATTTTTCAAATTTATTGAGTCTTTTTTTTAACATGGGAATGGACAATATCCAATAGTTCATGTCTTAAAATGTGATCACAAATAATGGCTAAGAACGCCGAAACTCAATACTTCTGATTTGACTCTAAACCATGGTAGAAGAATACAGGTAGAAGTATCAACGCTTGGGAATATTGATATGTCATAATTTTTATTTATTTATTTATTTGTACCATGACAAGTATACAAAGCCTTTAGGCCAATTAAAGCGAATACTATATGCTTAACAATATGATTCAACAACTATAAAAATAATAATAAAAAACCAAATAAAAATATATATAGAACCAAATAAAAATATATTTAGAATGTTTTGTCAAAAATAAGTAGATTCTTATATGTGTTCTTATACCACCCAAATCGGATGTTATTATTATAAAAAATTTTAGCAAGTTTTACAATTTTCAATAATTTTTCATTTAACATTTTCGATTCCAAAATATGTTTGACAGTTCATTGTCCCAGCAGCTTTGTCGATGCAACACAATTATATTTTTGACAGCAAACTTAGTTGTCAGATGCCTTTACTGGCCATCTCGAAAGAGGAATTTTCACTGATTGTTTGCAAATTCTTTATGGACAAATTTCATCTTGCAATCATTTGCTATTCTTCTCCTTCCAGTGATTTATGTTTGGGTAAGCACATTTAAAATATATTTATTTTAGTAAACACAAGCCTAATTGCATAGTCTTCTGACTTAATTTAAATTAGTTTGTACCATGGTACAATAAATTCAAGGTAGGGCAGAACTACCATATGATTTAATTTTTTTATTTTTCTGGTTTAATATGTCAACATCATTTGCTTATGTGTGTGTCTTCTTTTCAATAATAAAAAATTGTTCAGAAAATATTCAAATTCGGGTGTTTTCAAAATGCTTATTGCAACGAATGCATCAACAAAATCTACAGTTTTTGTCGCGAAATAAACCATAAGAGATATATAGAACATGATATTGAAAAGAAATTTTGACCATTCATTCAGTTTTCGCGGTTTTAAATTATTTATTCAAAATCAATGCAACAAGTTGTTTGCTTTTTTATTGTTTTGATAGTAATTCTGACATTACAAGCCAAACAGGTAGACCTCTATACTTGCAATTTTTTCAAAGTTGACCTACCTTCTCTTCATTGTACCATGGTTTGTACTTCATTTCTTTTTATTGCTTCGTTTTTCATAAATCAGCTGAGAATAAAAAAGAATGAAACTCTCAGAAAGAAACTACTCGACAGTTACTTCAGGAAAATAACCAGACAGGCCTATTGTATAATGAAAGCTTGTCGTTTTTTCGCCAAATTCCAAATATAAACAAATGTATTTTGACGGAATGGGTGAAATCAGCTGGGCTATTCGGACGACCTATTTAATGGGCCTTGTCCGTTCCCTTATTTTTTGAGCACACATAAATGAGAACTGTTCTCTCTTCTGATAGTTTTACTACTAAAAAGTATTGGAACACAACTTATGTTTATATTCTATTCAAAATAAATATAAAAATAATTCATATTGTGGAGAGTAGGGATAATATTTCAAGTAGATACATATATTATTGGTGGAGGTATGATAATAATAATGAAACTATGGAACTAAATGCCAAGACATCTAGATTTAGTTCCGATAGTTCCGTTTACTGAACATTTTGTTTGAACTATTTTGTTACGGAACGGCAAAACTCAAGTTTGTGGTTGATTTTATTTTGTAACAAGAGGAGGTAATTTAGCATGAGCAATTTTGTGAATTATAATGTAAATAATTTGTTGTGTTTTTTAGTCGAAATAAAGATGTCTTTGGTTACAAAAATTTTCTCGGGTTTTGTACCGCAAAAGCTTACGAGTGTGCTGATAAACAATATCAGCCGTCACCAAAATGCCCGGAATTTTCACATGATGTTAAAACCTTTACCTTCAATATGTTCGAATGTGTCAAAAACTCCCATGGCTCTAGAAGCAACATCGCCAACATCTTTAATTACTGGAATGCAACGTTTGTTGACTCCAGTCTCAACAATCTTAAATCAAGTGGCTGGTTTTAAGGTTAAAGGACGACTAAAGAGACGTTGCAAGGATTGTTACTTTGTTATCCGCCAACAGCGTCATTATGTCATTTGTCCAACCCACCCGAGACATAAACAAATGTCAATGAAGAAACGTGATTATAAATCCTGGATTCTCACTCACGCTACACAATCTAAAGTAAGGCCATATTAGAATTTTACTTGTTATGCTATGAATAAAATGTAAAAATACTAAAATGTGAAAATACTTGGTTTTGCTGGCGACAATACTCGCGTAGTTGATGGAGGCTGATGAGTAAAATTAGGGAAATAGTTGAGAAATCAATACGTGTTGTTGTTACCATGGTAGAAAAATACAGGTAGATGCATCAACGCTTGGGAACATTGATATGCCAACAATTTTTAAATGTTCTTTCAAATATAAGTAGATTTTTATACGATTTCTTATACGACGTCATTCTGATGTTATTATAATTCGCGTTTTCAACAATTTTTACAATTTTAAATAATTTTTCACTTAACATTTTTAATTCTAAAATTGGTTTGACAGTTCATTGTCCCAGCAGCTGTGTCGATGCGCTTACCTATATTCTTATACCATGATTGTTACTCCATATGAAGACCATCAGCTGTTGTTTTAGAAAAGCGGGATTTCCAAAGATTAGTCTGTAAGTTTGACTGCTTATTAGCGTTAAGACAATAAACAAGTTAAAAAGCAGTGAGTTCGGCCGGGCCAAACTTTGAATACCCTCCACCATTTGGAACGAATTTGGAAATTTTCAAAAAATAAAATCCTTAAAACATTCTGTTAAAATTTTAAAAATACCGAATATAGCCGTTATATTGGGGTCTATACGACGTGTATTGTTTGCAACTAGCCATTACCATATTCAAATTCGAAACTTGAAATAAACGGTGAATAATGTAGCTAAAATCATCAAAATATCGTGTAAAGGGAGGTACCGTTATATCGGAGCTGTGCGAAGACCTGGCCCAGCATAGACAATTTTCTGTCACAAGCTATAGCATCCATTACTAACGTCAAATACGATATCTCAAACAATTTCGGTGGCTATTGTACCTAAACTCGTCAAAATACCGAATATAGGGAGGTACTGATATATAGGGCTTATACGAAGACCTGGACCTGCATAGGCAAATTTCTGTCACAGACCATTACGAACTCTAAATACGTAAATTGAAACAATTCCGGTGAATAATAACTCTAAAATCATCAAAATACCGAATTTTGGGAAGTACCGTTATATGGGAGCTATACGAAGGCGTGGACCTGCACAGACAATTTTCTGTCATTGGCTGTAGTATCCATTACGAATCTCAAATACCAAATTTGAAACAATTCCGGTAAATAATGTCGCCAAAATTATCAAAATACCGAATATAGGGAGGTGCCGTTATACGTCGTTTACTGTTAAGCTATTATTCGTTCTCTTCCTTAAGTCAGCGTAGGACAGTGACTGTATCTCCTTCTTCTACGGTAATCAATGTTGGGATAAGCTAAAAAACCTTATCAAAAGCATGGTACAATAAAAAGGTAAGGTAGTAATCTTGGCTTAATATGTCATCTTGATTTGTTTATGTATGCGTTTTGTTCTTAATAACAAAACAATTGTTCGGAAAACATTCAAATTCTGGTGTTTTCAAAATGTTTATTTCAACGTATGCATCGACAAAATCTAGTTTTTGTAGCGATATATTCATAAAATGAATCGTCAGATCTGTTTACTTGCACAACAGGAGTTGCAGCAAAGCTGCATCCTAAATGCATATCAGACGAAATGTTTTTTACATATGTAATGTCAAATTTACCATATGTAAGTTACACATAGTTGTGGAATACACAGATTACAAATTTGCTCGTTTTTTATTTTACAAAAAAAAAAAAAAAAAAAAAATACGACACTCGTCTCGCATAAATAGTTATGGAATTATTTTAAATAAAATGATAGATGACAGCGTTACCTAAAATTCGAAGTATTCGATCGGCAGTTTTCGCAACACAAAATGCATACAATGATTTATATGACTGTTACCCAAATACGTCAAGCGTATAACATTGAAAATTTTCAACATTGACAATTGAACATTTCCTGCGCTGAAATTAGGAATGTATGAAAAAATATGTGAATGTTTTTTGGAAGAATATAACAATTGCATGGTACAATGAAATAAAGGTAACCTCATTTCAAATTAGCATTCCCAGCTTTGCATTTTCTGTAATTTACCTCGTCAAATTTTAAGGCATAAAAACCAGTTTCCATTTCTGATTTTGTGTGTATACAATGGATTTATAAATATAGATTTTGACAATGAGATTCATGGTACAATGAAGAGAGGGTAGGCTAACTTTGAAAAAAATTGCAAGTATAGAGGTCTACCTGTTTGGCTTGTAATGTCTGAATTAGTATCAAAACAATAAAAAACCAAACAACTTGTTGCATTTATTTTGAATAAATAATTGAAAACCGCGAAAACTGAATGAAAGGTCAACACTTCTTTTCAAAACCAGATTCTATATATCTCTAAAGGATTATTTCGCTACAAAAACTCTAGATTTTGTCGATGCATACGATGAAATAAACATTTTGAAAACATCCGAATTTGAATGTTTTCTGAACAATTTTTTTGTTATTGAAAAGAAAACACATACATAAACAAATAAAGATGACATATTAAGCCAAGAACATAAAAAAATTGAAATCATATGGTATCATAGCCCTACCTTGATATCATTGTAGCATGGATGCATCAACGCTTGGGAGCGTTGATATGTCAAAAATTTTTAAATTTCTTTTCAAATATAAGTAGATTTTTATATGTTTTCGAAGGTTATTAAAAAATGCCTTTTTCAACAATTTTTACAAATTTAAATAACTTTTCATTCGACATTTTCAATTCCAAAATTTGTTATATATATATTCTTCTACCATTTGCATATATAAAAATTCGATTTTTAATGAAATTAAACTTGACAAAGTATTGGATATACATACTGGATATTTTTAATTGAATAGAGGTTATCTTTATTTAACTGTACCATGATTTTTCCATTAAACATTTTCTCTTTATGATATCGGAAAATCAGATATGAAACAGAGCAAATGTAATCAATGCAATTTTGACATACCCAGGGAAATATAGATGGGGTCTAATCGTGTCTTAAGATCTTTCATACATATCTTTATCCGCGTTAACCCTTATAATTGACGAATCACAATAAATTGAACTATGGAACTATTGCAGGCCAAGTCGCAAAACATCTCCTATACGAGAAGGCAAAAGAAGTGTCTTGTCTTCAGCATTTATAACATGTATATCCAAACTTTCTGCAAGCTAATTGAATTTTGAAAGTTCCGGTTCCATATTCGATTTCAATTGCAAAAAATACATTTTAAAATAGTAGAAGTGGTAAAAATATTAAATGTGAAACATGGTAGAAGAATATAGGTAGACGAAACATATAAAAATCGACTTATATTTGAAAAACATTTACAATTTTTTGACATATCAGTGGTCCCAATCGTTGATGCATCTACCTGTACTCTCATGGTATGAACACGATTCTCTTTAAATTTTTCTGATATTTTGGATACGGGAAAACGTTTCGAGTAATTACTTAAAAAATCTTGCACATAAAGGAACAGAGCTATGTTTTCACCACACGTCATTGATTTAAACGACGCCGTCATGACCTATCCATTTAATGGGCCTTGGACGCCGTTCATTAACTTAACTCCGTCAGAGTCAAGTACAGCGCCTTGGCATTGCCATGATACTGTGTTAAAACATACACACATGTAAACAAAATTTTCAAGTAAACAAATCTTATTTGTTTCTTTTTTTGCGGCACATTGGTTTCTAAACGTCTATACACTTCTGTTTAAAATGAAGATTGCCGTAGAAGGCTGCGCCCATGGTGAACTCGAGAAAATATATGAAACTATTGCCGAAATCGAGAAAAGAGATGGTATAAAAATAGATTTGCTGCTATGCTGTGGCGATTTTCAAGCTACCCGTAACATGGAAGATCTACAAACCATGGCTGTTCCCACTAAATTTCAACATATGTGCTCTTTTTACAAGTAGGAAATAAACCGATAATTGATTTCAAATAATAAATATAATCCGATTCCTTTTCTAGGTATTACAGTGGGGAATTACGCGCTCCTATGCTAACAATATTCATTGGTGGGAACCACGAAGCTTCAAATTATTTACAGGAATTGCCATATGGAGGTTGGGTGGCTCCCAATATATACTACTTAGGATATGCTGGAGTGGTACGAGTCAATGATATTCGAATTGGTGGTCTGTCCGGCATATACAAGGGTAATGACTATTTGCGGGGTCGCTTCGAATTTTCTCCCTACACGGAAAACACAAAGCGAAGTGTTTATCATGTTAGACAATTAGAAGTATATCGTTTAAAACAACTATCGGGAAGAATTGATATTTTCATGTCACATGACTGGCCGAAGGGTATATACAATTATGGCAATAAGGAACAGTTGGCGCGTTTTAAACCATTCCTGCGCGAAGAAATGGATAGGGATCAACTAGGCAGCAGACCATGCCAAGACCTGTTAAACATACTTAGACCTTCGTATTGGTTTTCTGCCCATTTACATTGTAAATTTGCCGCCTTGGTGCAGCACAGTGAAGCATCTATGGAACAAAATGTTGAAAAGCAAAGCACAATGTCATATCCAGAAGAAGATAAACCTACATCTAAAATAACAAAATTTCTTGCGTTAGATAAATGTCTGCCGAAGAGGAGATTTCTGCAGGTTCTTGACATTGAATCGGAAAATCACACAGATGATGAGGGTCAACTACGACTAGAATATGACCTGGAGTGGCTAACGATACTACACCTGACAAACCATTTGGTAAATGTTAAGGAAAATTATTACTATTTGCCAAATGAAAAAAGTGCAAATGGTGAACGTTTTCAGTTTACTCCAACTATGGATGAAATGAACTTCGTTAGACAACGATTTGAGAATGATTTGAAAATCCCAGAAAACTTCTGTCGTACTGTAGAAGCATTCGACCCGTCCATGCATTTGAGCAAAGGATACCATTATGTGCAGCCGAAATCTCAAATAAATCCCCAGTCACAACAATTTTGTGAAACTTTGGGTATTGATGATCCCCTTAGCTTAGCAATGCTGATTGGTGGTCATGAGTTAAGTCATTCTAGCACACTAGATAATACTGAGGATTCCGCACTTAATGAATCCATTCCTGACGAGCATAATTCTAGCCTTAATACGTCTTCTAATTCCTTAGGAATCGCGTCAGCAAAGAGTCCATTAAAACGTAAAAGCAACAGTGGATTATCACTACCAAAACCAAAATTATCAGGCAATAACTCTATTGAAAATAAGGAAGAGTTAAAAATAGATGACGAGATTGAAGTTGAGAGCGAGACGCATATAAATATTGAGGGTGAAGTGGTCAATGATGATCACATGAACGCACAATCGCCTAAGGAAACGACAGAAAATGTTTCTACTGAGACTATAACAATAGTCAATTCAACTAAACCTCCTATAAAGAAATTTAAAAGACGCAATCAAGACATTTATGTGGACAAGAATGAGGAAGAGGAATTATGAAATAAATATGTTTAAATATATGTATTTAATGAAGGTCCATAAATTATTTTTGTAAATAAAAAGTGACGACATAAACAAAATCAACTAATTATAAAGGCAGGACATAATTAAGACTATGTTATAATGAAAACAAAGTTAGATAGATTTGAGAGAAAACAGGCCTGGCAGTTTGTAATCTAAATTTTTTCAGTAAATAAAAATACGAAAACTTTTCTATTTAAATCAGGTTCTATAGGCAAATGTATTTGTTATTTTATTAATCTTTATATGGTTGAAAAGAATACAAGGACAATTTAATCTTCAGTATTTATGAACTTTATTTCCAATATTATGTTCGATTCCAAGTGCATATTCACGTGAAAAGTTTGAAAAAAGTGAGTTTTCAGGACGGGCGGATAAAAAAGTCGCATTTACCTCCTTCAACTTATTTCCCCTTCGACTATTTTCCGCGAACTTTCCCTGCCTACAATATAATACATGTGTTTTGTAAAATTTGGTCCTTTTTAAAAATGGATTTCCGAGGGATTAAGTATATCTACTTAAAATTTTAATTTCAGTTTTCTTAACTTGAAAGTAATGATACAGATAGCCTGAATTCCAAAACGTCAGCTATATCTCTTCAAACCTCCGTAATACATAATCTAATGCAGTGTATTTGCATTGCTTTTCTGTTTTTAATGCAGTAAATAAAATATTCGTGTCTAATAAATAGGTATTTTATTGTATTAAGGAGAAACTACTGTCGAGATACATACAATTCTTACCAATCTCAATGTACAGCTTAAAATTTGATGGTTTATTGTGAGATTTTAGATGTTAGTAAGTTAGGCAAGGCTTCTCGACAGTGACATTACAACACTGGTAAACATCTTTTTTAAATATTATATTAGTGTCCTTAATATTAGATAAGAGTTATAGGCATTTTTGGTTTACATGCAATTAAAACTATTTTAATTTTTCTATTAACCATTTCAATTATTGCTTATACAGGGCTATAAGCCTCTTTGGTATACATAAAAACCGTTCGTAATAACGCTTCATGTGGATCCGTTGTATCACAGTAATATGACACAGGAGCTGGTGTACGTCTTAGCTTTAATTTTGGTTTACAATCTGTGTTACATTCGCCAGACTTCTCTAAGATGTCAGGTTGAATTGTTTCATAAAACGTACATGATCTGGGACCGAGTCCAGGAACATCAGCATCATAGGGTGGCGCTAATATATCAAAGAATGCTGCAACCCCACCCACTGCCGTAATTTCGTGATAATTTCTTTCTGTCGGTGTCAACAGAGAGCACCCCATATCCGAAGTAACAGTAACAGGTTCTTCTTGAATAACATCCACTTCCTTAATGTGTGGTGCAGTCTCATTCCAAGCATCACTGCTGCAGTTAATGTCTTGAGTATATGTTTGAATTTTGAGTTTACCATGGATGACTTTCAATAGACCATGCATGCAAGGATGATCATGCAACGGCATAGTATAACCACCTCTCATTATAAAAACGCTCATCGACACAGTCTCATCTTCGAATATATGCATATAAGTACAAGGTGCATGGCCAGGAGTTCGATATAGGCTATCTTTAAGCAGTTTTTCCTCATCGATGAGAATGTCTCTCTTAGAAAGTTGATCTGTCAAATGTTTCAAAATCAATAAATTATTTTTGAGAGAGTTCTGATTTTTGCGATCGAATGTCTTCAGGGCCTGTCGCAAAATGTTTCCAAAATGGGAACTCATAGTAGACGTTTACGGTTAAGCATGAAACCAATGAAACCACGTACGTACCGGTTAATAAAACAATTATTATGACAATAGGTAGTGATGCGTAAGTCGATTTTTCACTAATTGATTGTGGGAGCAAACCAAGAGTATGTTCACATTGAATCCCATTATATGATGCACAGGGTAAAGGTGTGAGCAAGGAAGATGTCGCATGGTAGAATTTTGGATGTCGCATTTTGGAATTAAAATTTTTGAATGAAAAATTATTCAAATTTGTAAAAATTAAAAAAAAATTCATATCATAACAACCTCCGATTGGCATCGTATAGGAAATCATGTGCAAATCTACTTATTTTTTTTAATAAAATTTTGACAGATTAATGTTCCCAAGCGTTTAAGCATCTACCTGTATTCTTCTACCATGGGTACTCGCATCGGCAAATTGCCACAATAAAATAAATTTTGTGGAACCATTAAATGTCAAAACTGGCACATAAGGCGAAAATAGATTCGCCTTGAGGCCTAAAGTTTGCGGCAAATTTGCTTCAACCAATCACAAACAAGATGTTTGTTTACATTGCATACCTTGCAAGGTAGATGTACTAGGTAATCGCATCAGCCCAGCTGACGGCACCATTAAATGTCAAAACAAATTGTTGTAATGAAGAATTCGCCCTAAATGAATGCAACAACAAATTTGTTTATGTTGTCTTCCCTAAAAGTACCTTTTTATAATATTTTAAATAATTTAAGGGTAAGTTAAGAGTGAAACCAGTAAAAAATTAAAAGAACATGAAGGAAGGAGGTTAGAATGGAGTGCAGCTTTAAGAATTAAGTTAGCCTCAACATCTAAGATTCCCAAAGCACATCACGGGAAGTAGTGCAAGAATTAGACTCTTGTCATTTGCAGTTCCAGAAAACTTCCGGTTTAAACCAGTAAAATATAGTCATAATAAGTTTCTTTGTTTAAAAAATATCGCAATACTACAATTAATACTTATTTTACTCTTATTTGTTTTACAATAAAAACTTTTATTGCGACGTTCGTTTACGACGAGAGGGATACAAAATAAAATGTAAACAAACACCTCGTTTCTGATTGGTTGAAACAAATTTGCCGCAACTTTTAAATGTCATGGCGAATCTATGTTTTTCGCCTTAGATGCCAATTTTGACATTTGAGGGGACCACAAAAGTTGCTTTGTTGTAGCAATTCGCCGATGCGGTTACCTGTTAGATCTACCTTGATACCTTGTCTCATGGTAGAAGAATATAGGTAGACGCGTCGACACAGCTGCTGGGACAATGAACTGTCAAACCAATTTTGGAATTGAAAATGTTGAATGAAAAATTATTTAAATTTGTAAAAATTGTTGAAAAACGCGAAAAATTGTTGAAACGGTAGGTTAACACTTCTTTTCAAAATCATGTACTATATATCTCTAAAGGATTATTTTGCTACAAAAACTCTAGATTTTGTCGATGCATACGTTGAAATAAACATTTTGAAAACATCCGAATTTGAATATTTTCTGAACAATTTGTTTTTTATTGAAAAGAAAACACATACATAAACAAATAAAGATGACATATAAAGCCAAGAAAATAAAAAAAATAAAATCATATGGTATCATAGCCCTACCTTGATATCATTGTACGATGGGAACATTGATGTCAAAAAAATTAAACGTCTTTTCAAATATAACGCGCTTTCAATATGAATAATTTTTCATTCGGCATTTTCAATTCCAAAATTGGTTTGACAGTACATTGTCCCAGCAGCTGTGTCTACCTATATTCTTCTACCATGGGTTTGTAATGTATTTTGACATTTCGTTTGGTAGTCAGCTGGCTTGGAAGGGGACCTTATACTTGGCCCACGACATCACGTGTAATATAAGGTCTCCCTGCCAAGACAGCTGACTATCAAATGTAATGTTAAAAGACATTATTGTGACTGAAATCACAGAGCAAAAGATAAACAATAAACAAAAAATGTAAACAAATTTTGACATTACATCTAGTCTTTAGAATTTGCAGGAACACCATGTTATTGCGCCATGGTCTTACGCGTTGACAGTTTTTCACAAACAGCTGATGGTGCCGTTTTGAAATGTTTGTTTGAGGCAACGTTGAAGATTGGAAGCTGCAAAAATCGAAAATCGCGATGTTCTCGTTTAAAATTTAATTTAGTAAAAAACAGGAAGTGACGTGCCCATAAAAAAGATAAAATACTGATTATGTTCGATATCTCTGTTGTAGTTGGAAGTTTGATCGAAAGATAAATGAAGCAACAATATTCTTATGCCACAAACATACATAACGCCACGCCATCACTTGCCTCCTCCTCATCTGGTCATACCTACAGAGAGCTCAACAATAGTACACCCAGAACATCACATCAACGCACAGTCATGTATAACCGTGACTGGCGAATGGCGTTGCGGACGCCTCCCACATATCGTATTGGAAACAGAACCGTACGGTTTAACTATCACATCGCAATGGTTATTATAGGAGCATGTGCATTAATTGTGCTTTTCTACTATGTACGGGGCAGTACCTCTTCGTCTGATGCGGCGTGGCTTAAAAATTACGCCAGTTCAACAAGTGGTCACCGGAACACAAATGTCGTTGGTGGTGTTAGCAATAGAAATCTCGCAAAGGATGTCACATCGTCGTATTACAATAATACGTATCCTCTAACACCGCCATTTGTTGGTAGACCGGGAATGATTACATACCGAATAGCCATAGTTGCTGATCTAGACACAAATTCCAAAGTGGAAACAAACGGTGCTACTGTGTGGCGAAGTTACTTGAAAAAGGGTCATATCACTTATGTTGCTGCTAAGAACGAGATATCAATATCGTGGGACAGCGGCGAACCCTTGATGTTGGAATCGGGATTTTCTCTAAAAGGTCGTGGTATGGAGCTTTCTGAGCTAGTAACATTTAATGGCCGAATTTTAAGTTTCGATGATCGGACTGGCCTAATCTATGACATTACAAATAATGAGAAACCAATTCCATGGGTAATTTTACTGGATGGAAATGGAAATAATGCCAAGGGTTTTAAATCGGAATGGGCAACAGTTAAAGATGGTTTACTGTACGTCGGCTCCATGGGCAAGGAATGGACGAATGGTTTAGGGGATTTCGAGAATGAAAATCCCATGTTTTTGAAAGTGGTTTCCACAGATGGTGCTGTAAAATCTCTTGACTGGTCATATAATTTCAAAAGACTGCGAGAAGAAGCAGCCGATATTACTTGGCCTGGTTACATGATACACGAGAGTGGTGTTTGGTCTGCATATCACAAAAAATGGTTCTTCCTGCCTAGAAGATGTTCGAAAGAAAAGTAAGTATAATAATAGTTTTCAGTTTTAGCAGTTTGCACGGTTTTGATAAATTTGTTTAATGCTCAAATGACTGCAATGCATATTTAATTTCCGTTGAGATGTACAGCCCAGTCAGGAATAATCGATTCATAAGGAATTTCCTCCTTTTC